TACTTGGTTCTTTAACCTGTGAAAACTGGTTATTGGATAAATAACACCAAAAAATGGAACCCTGGTATAGCACATATAAAGCCTCTTGAAGGTCATTGCCCTAATAATCCTGCATTGCCTTCACTGAGTTAATACCAAGTAGGTATTACCACCTACTTAGCATCATAACTGTGTTGTTAGAAAGCCATTCAATCATTCTATCAAGCCAGCTGCATCAGGGTGATGGGGATTATGGTAAGATCAATGAATTACATGAGCATGGGTCCATTGCTGAAGTTACTTTGCTGTAAAAGGAATCCTTTTTTTCTGGAATGATGCTGTGTGGGATACAATGATGGTGGATAAATCATTCTGTAAGTCCATAGAAGACAGCTTTGACAAAGGCAGTGCATGCAGGGAAGGCAAATCCATATTCAGAGTAAGTTTTTATTCCAATAAGAACAAAATGCTACCAATCTTTATGATAGAAATGGTCCAGTGTAACCAACTTGTCACCAGGTTGTTGACTGATGCTCCCAGAAAATGGTTCCATATTGTGGTCTCTGCAGCAGGGGCTGAAGCTACGTTAGTATTGGTGAGTGGAAGGCCATGTTGCTAAGCCATATACAATCTCTATCCCTGACATCATGGCTACTTTGTCCATGAGCCCACTGGGCAAAGATAGGAGTGGCTGGGGAAGAATAGACGACTGTTTTCCATAGAGTGTCATCCTATCCACTTGAAGGTTAAGATCCTCCTCTGACAATGTCCACTTTTGGAGAACATTCATGTGAGACACAAAAATCTTAATTTCTTTAATCTATTCAGAGGGATTTATCCACCTACCCTATCCCATACACCCCCATTTTATCCTTGGTGAAAATTGTCACAAATTTTCCAATCATATTCCTTCAAAGTACAAGACCATCAGTAAAACCATTCACTACAGCCTAAGAATCAGTATTTATCAGAGAAATACATCTGAGTATTTCTCCCTCTCAGCAAAGTGAACAACCAGATGCACTTGTCAAAGTTCTTCCCATTGAAATTATTTTCCTATGTCACTGTCCTTCAGTGATGTCATTGAAAGGGGCTTCAGTACTGCTGCTGTCCACTTTCAAGTGTTATCATTGATACTTCTTCCTTACTATATCCAATCAACATAATGTCATCAATGTAATGGAACAGTGTGACATATTGTAGAAAGGAAAGTTTGTCAAGCACTCTTTGGACTAAATTATGATGTTGTACTGGGGAATTAACATCCCCCTAAGGAGGTCTGGTGATGCGGTCCCTAAAGCATTTGACTGTTAACCAGAAGGTTGTCAGTTCAAACCCATCAGCCACTCTGTGGAAGGAAGACTGGGCAATATACTTCCATAAAGAAGATTTACCACCTTGGAAATCCAATGGGTGTTGCTGAGTCAGAATTGACTTGACTGGTGGATTTTTTTTTTTTTTTTGATTATGCAGTAGGACAGTGAAGGTATATTGCTGGCCTTGTCAGCTAAAAGTCAACTGTTTCCAGAGATCATTTGAAACTGGAATTGAGTAAAAAGCATTGGTCATATCAATACCTGCATACAAGGTATTAGGAAATGTATCAATTTACTCAAATAATGAAACTTCATAGGAAAAAGCAGTAGTTACTGGAGTCACCCAGTCAGCTTTATGATAATTCACTGTCATTTTCCTAATTCCATCATTTTTTGTATAGGCCAAATATGCAAGAAAATTGAGGGTGTGGTAGGAATCATCACACTCTACATTCTTCAAGTCTTTTGTGATGGTGCTTGTCTCTGCAATCTCTCCAGGAATGTGGTATTGCTTTTGTTTTTGCTATCTCACTGTGTAAGAGCAGTTCTAATGTATTCTGCTTGGCTTTTCCCACCATAATAGCCTTTATTCCACATGGCGGGGATACAATGTAGGGATTCTTCCAGTTGCTCTGCCATTGGCTATAGGATTCTGCTGATCCAAAGGTGACTGAAATATCAGTGGAAGAAAGAAATGCTGCTTGTTGCTTTTTGGAACTGAGGAAATCAGTACAAGATAGATTCAGGGACTCACTGAACTCACCATGAGATAGATCTTAGTTAATACTCCATAAATAATCTGACCTCCATATGCCTCTACTCTGACTGATGGACCACAGTGATGATTTGGTCTCCAGAAATTAGTGCCAATTCAGAGCTAGTCTCTAGTAATTCTCAAAAACTCTAATTATTTCCATATCCCCAGGGAGCTCTGCTAGTGTAGTGCCTAAGGCACTTGACTGTTAACCAGAAGGCTGGTGGTTCAAACCCACCAGCCACTCCTTGGAATGAACAATCTACTTTCATAGTGATACTGCCTTGGAAACCCAAGGAGGGGTCACTATGAGTCGGGGCTGACTCAATGGCACATAACAACAACAACAACAGTGAACATGCACTCTCATAAAAGAATGTAAATCCATTTGGGAAAGGTTGGTAGTAAAAATAACAGTATACATTATGGACAGTGTAGTGGTGTTCTTCCTCAAAGGAACTCAATCTCCCCTTCATTCAAGGGATTGTGGGTCTGTTAACATGCTCTGGTCTTGGATTGTGGGGCCATGACTCTGTATTCTAGAGATTCAAGTTAGACTGTTGTTCACTTGACCTAGAATTCTTCTTCTAGTACCTATCAAGTAAATATTCCTTAGGACATCAAGCCCTGAGCTCATGTCTTCCTTTCACCACTTTATTGAAATTAAGACCAACCAACCAGCTTCCTCATTCTTATTCTGACAAAATTACAGAAAAGTAACCAACATGTAGTCTCCCAGGCCTTATTTCTAATAAATATTTGATGGTGTTGAAATATTGCTTATTTCTATTGCCATTTCATGGCATGGACTAGCAGTGCCATCTTTGCTTAAGGAGGCAAAGTCATCAATGTCTTTAAGACTACCCAGACTTGAGAACAAATTAAGAAATCCCATCTTTACAATTTTGTTTCCCAGGAACCATTCTCAGTACAAAATATATGAAGTTAGAGTCTCTGGAGAAGCAAAATCAGTGAAGGTTACACACACACACACACACACATAAACAAACACACATAGATATACATTTATCTCAAGGAAATGGCTCATGTGGTTTTATAAGACAGCAATTCCTAAGTCCGTGGGTCAGACATCAGGCTGGAGGTTTCTCTTACCTTGCATAGTTGCAAAGTATGACAAAACCAAATTGGCAGGTTAGACTGCAAATTTTTGGTTCAGTCTTCTGAGCTTAATAAATCCTAGATTAGGTGGTCAGATGGCAAGCTGCTGGATCACAGGCTGCAGAGGCTGATGAGTTCCAGGACTGATGAGCAATATGGCAGGCCACTAGCTCCAGTCCAAAGAACTAGAAGTCAGATGATGACTAGCTAGATGCAGGATCCAGATCAAGCAGTGTCCATATATATTGGATGCAGGCCACATCCCTGAGGAAACTCCCTTTCCACTGATTCCTTGTTCACAGCAGATCTCATCATAGAGATGATTTCATTACATCAGATCTCATCATGAAGAATGACTACATCATAACTGGCCAACCACTGAGAATCACAACCCATCCAAGTTGGCAAACAAACTTAACTATCACCCTTATATACTAGTATGAATGAACCTAATAAATACATATGAAAATAAATAAACTTAATAGAGCAAGACAATATTGGATTAATATATTTGAAGAATGAGCAGAAGAATCTACCCAGCTTCTAATACAGAAAAATGGAAATGGGAAATATTCATAAAAACAATATGCAATATAGTCAACTCTAAGAAGGACTAATAAAAATCCAAAAAGAATTTCAGACATGAGGCTAGAGAGAATGAGAGACAGAGAGAAAAGTCAAAGATAACAGTTTAAAATTTCATAGTTGATAAAAGACATTACTCTATTTATAAAACTCATCAAATTGCAAGAAAAATGAGTGAAAATATATTCATATTTAGCCATATTATCTAGAAATGAAGAATGGCTAAGATTGAGGGTAATATCTAAATGATGAAAGAGAGGAAAGAAAGTTTGCTTAACTGCATAGAGATTCCCGCTCATCTCCCGGTATATTAATATCAGCTTTACTAAAAGCACATTTATCAAAGTCAACACTTAAAGCTAGAACAAATGACACCAATACTTCCAAGTGTAAGAACAGTAACCATTAAATTGTAATAGTAGACTAGATGAAAAATATTTAAATGAGGAGGAAAAAAGTCAAATTTTACACATACACCCTCAAAAATACATACATACACACACACACACACACACACATGAGGCAAATAATTCAAAAATAACCTCATTTAAATATTTATGCAAACATGTTTCCTAGAATGAACTACTAGGATAGGAAAAAAATAAACTTCTAAAAGAAACTGGCAGCATTGGTAATTGTTACTGAATGATGTCTACAACTTAATCCCTGTGACCTATGAATACAGTATCTTACATGGCAAAAGACACTTTGGATATGTAATTAAAGCTCAGGCATCTTGAGATGTGGAGTTTATTCTGGATTACTCAGGTAAGTGTATTTTAGCCACATGAGTCTTTAAAAGTAGAGAAACTTCCTAGCTTGAATCAGAAGGAGTGATGTTATGGTGATCAGAGAGATGCAAAAGTCTTGGATTTGAAGATGAATGAAAGAGCCTCAGACCAAGGGATACAGATGGCCTCTAGAAGCACAAAAAGGCAAGGAAATGGATTTTTCCCTAGAGACCCAGGGAAAGAAGCCACCCCTGCAGGTACTGTTCAGTTTAGCAAAATGAGTCCTCTAATGGACTTCTGATATATAGATCTGAAAGAATATCATTTTATTTTAACTCAGTAAGTTTGTGGTGATGTTTTACACCAACGAAAGTAAATAATATGCTAAATAATCTATTAATTTATATAAACATTTAATCAATGTGGTTACTTAGTAGATTATCTATAATGCTGCAGTGAAACCTGTGAGAGCTGTCACTGGACAGAACTACCTTTTCCTGGTCTGTTTGGTTTTTATCACTTTTCTTATAAACACCCAGTGAGTTTGACATCTCTGGAAGGTTTACACCTTACATAGGATTCAGCTATATAGATATTACTATTTCCATTTATATAAATACAGTTTACCCAGAAACAATGAAAGATATGTAATTCTGTATTTTATAGTTAATTTTAAAGCAAACCCTATGCCATATAATTAATATTTTATGTTAGCATGATATGTTTTCTTTGAAAATATTCATCCTCAAATCATTAAGCATTGAATATTCCTCCACCATAAAGTGAAAGAAACCTTGATTATACGTTTATTAGAACGAATTAATAAAACAGAACTCATTGAGGAGTAGCCATTGACCATGAGTACCTGAAAATATACATGTAATGTATCACTTATATATAACATATACCAAAGTAAAGTTGAAAGAAATGCAAACCAGTTAAATATCACAAATACTATCAAAAGCATTAGAATGTTCTGTGTGGCTCTTGTCTCTGGAGATACCCTTATGGAGAGGCAGGTACTGTGAATATGCTGGGATTGCCTCTTATGCCTGTACAAAAAAATCACCATGTAACCACTGGAGAAGATCATGATTCCTACAAAGAAGCTGTCCCTAAAAGTTATCAATATGGACATAAAGGAGCTATCACTGTATGTCATGGGCCAAAGAACACAGTGTTTGTTGAAAATCAAAAGATTCTCCCTAGTCTCATTGGGATCTGCAGAAGAATAGGTAATTATGCCGGCACTTATGGGTGTTGTGAGGACCCAAAAGAGAAGAAATAAACATAAGATATAAGAGGGTTTATGCTTGAACTTTGCTAACCAGGAGCTTCTGGGGCAAATAGTGATTGCCTGGAGTACACTCAGCAAGCAGGTGATACAGATGGAAAGACCTCTCAAAGCTCTTTTCATGTATAGCATGGCCTTACATGATATGCCATTTTGAACACTGAGTGACTCTAAAATATCTGGAAAAACTATGAACATTGTGGTGAGGATCATCATTATGTGAGTGAGGGCCAAGAGATTGATGGTCAGGCATATGGGGTTTGGTCTGTGATCTAGAAAGAGTATGCAGGTGTGAATGACAAAAAGGAATGTGTTTCCTGAGATACCAATACCAACTTGTAAAAGAAACAAATTACTTGCATAAGCAGGAATGGTATTAATCTTAATGAAGAAATAAACAATTAATGTGGATATCTGATGAGAAATGTAAGTGATATAATAATACAAATGTGTCACTTCCAATGTCATAAACATCACATTTATTCACAGCATAGTTCATCATCATTATCATTAGTACCAGAATTAATGGATTAATACTAATTAATTAACTTACTCATCTATCAATATTCAACTCAGGTTTTACATATTTCAAAACTCATTTACTATTTTTTTCACATTTGTGTTACTCAAAGACCTGGGCCATGTGTTAACCTCTATCTCCTTCTTTTTTTCTGTACCAATGTATATTGGTATGCAAATAATTATCAGTTTGTTTTTTTTTCAATTAGAATGAAGGAAATTTTATATATAGGGAAGCAAGGTCCTCGTAAGTAAATAATTACAACAGAATTATTGATACTGTCAATTATTTTCTATGAGCTTACCTCATCCATGTTGATTTACGACACATAGTAGCTGTTGTGGACTGTTGCTGTTGGTGTAGTTATATGCCATCGAGTCAGACTCGACTCATAATGACCCCTCCTTGGGTTTCTGAGGCAGTATCACTACAGAAGTAGATTTCCCAATTTTCCTTCTAAGGAGTGGCTCATGAGTTTGAACTGCCAGCCTAGGGTAATTTATCTGATCTCTGTTTCTTAGTGATCTCTCTAATTTGGGAAAAATTAAAGATGTTCTATAATTTACTTGTTCAGAGGACAAAATGAAATCTTAAACATTTCCCAGTTAAATAAAAGGCACTAAAAAAGTAAAAGAGTATATTTTCTATCTTATTTGCACATAGCTTGAGAGGACAAATGGAATACTTCATGAATCTCTTTCTTCTTACCTCAATGAGAGACTAGTACCCATAATAATACTATACATTTATTAAACTGTGCTCAAGGGATATTCACATAATTTTTTTTGTTGTTGTTTGTTTTTCTTTTTTATTTCAAACTTAATTTCCACAAAATGATAGTGCCTAAGGAATTTGACTCTTAACCAGAAGGCTAATGGTTAAAATTCACCATCCACTCCTTGGAAGAAAGACTCAGCAATCTACTTCCATAGATACTGCCTTGGAAACCCAAGGAGGGGTCGTTATGAGTCGGATTAGACACAACGGCTGTGAGTTAGATTTTTAGTTAAAGAAATAAAAAATTAAAAATAATCTCAATAAAATGGATTCATTAAATAATACTTTATGTCCAATTTACAAATTGGACACTTACTATAAAGCCAATTATCAAATTTTAAATTTTCACACTTGAACTTAATGTAGTTCATGCAACACAATGAGCTGATATAAAATAACCTGATTTTCCACCTCTCTCCACATTTAATTAAATAACTAATTCACAATTAACTAATGAATTAAACACCAATATGAGAAAAACATAATGCTTCTCTTTAAGGAGTTAAGGAGTTATGGTGGTGTAGTGGCTAAAGCATTGGGCTACTAAGCAAATTATCTATAATTCAAATACACAAGCAACTCTGTGGGAAACAGATGAAGCATTATGCTTCAGCAAAATTTACAGCTTTGAAAAATCTCTGAGACAGTTTCAATGTGTCCTAAACTATCATTATAAGTCAGAATTCAATCAAAGGCAGTGGGTTTGGTTTGGTTTGGTTTCTCTTTCCATATTTTATAAATATATGGACGTATCTCTAAATGTTGCACAATTTTTATTTAAATTCTGTTAAAATATTAGTCATACATTAATAATCAGATACTTTAAGAAAATCAGATAAAATATTTGAATATCTATAATTACCAGATCTCTTACCTGTGCATTATAATGCTTACCAGAACTATGTGAATTCTGCTTAGGATACAAATGATCATGAGAATGATGGTGTAAGTTTAGAATTTCCTGAAATGAAGTAAGGATAACCTGAGATACCAAACAGGAAAATCTTCATTGTCACACTGGAGACAACAGTGATAGACCCATAGCAGAAATTTTAGGGTGATTCTATGTGGATCACAATAAACAAACAAACAAACAAATAAATAAATAAATAAAATGGAAGAAAATCTCCAAAACATCATGTTTCAACAATTCCATACTAAGTGAGAATCTAAATGTTAGTTGGGAAAGTAATAACTATATACATAACTATATACATAATGTAGGGTAATATCTGGGCATTCCTTTGAAAATTATTCAAAGAAGCCTGAGATGCACTCAGAATAAAGTTGATTTGTTAATCAACTCTCCGTATTTCTCTGATCAAAAACTTAACTGTTTTTAAACCATTCTGAAAATTCTAACACTCAAAACCACATCCATAGTGATAGAGAATTTGGAGAAGCAGAGAGTCATAGGATGGCTAACATACAAATGTCACATAGTAAGGTCATCATTCTCCTGGACTCAAGGAAAGAGGAAAGTCTATTAGTGAAATGCAAGGGGGGTCATTTCAATTAAGAGCAAGAATAAGGAACATGTAGCTATCATTTAAACATACTAAAGGAAAAGCAAATGAATGGTAAGCATAGCTACTTTCATATCTAAAACACCTATGTTGAGTTTTCAGGGCTGTAGAAAGAGATAATAACTTTAATAAAACATTTAACACTATGTATACCATGTAACAAAAAAAAAAAAAAAAAACTCACTGCTGAGGAGTATAGCATAGGTAGTTTAAAAAGGATTCTAATAGATTATAGAATAGCAGCATGTAATTTGTCATTTTTATATTGATTGACATCATTGTTATTGTCTTTGCCAACATAATTTTCTATGAATAACCATTTTTTTTTTAATCTAAGGCTGTATAAGAAACAGAAAAACATTAAAGTGGGAAGGGGATGAAACTGCCTGTATGAGGTTAGACTTTGCTTGCATCACTGGGGATAGAGACTTGTTTTTGTTGTTGGGAGCCACCAAAACATGGACTTTTTGTGGACCAACCTTAAATAGGAACAGAGAAAGGAACAGGGAGAAAAACACAGATCATACTCAAGGAAGGTCAATCCTCACCTCAGTCCCTCAAATTCAATGATAATGAAAATGAAGAGTTTGTGGAATTTCAAAATTAGAAGAAAATTTAGAAGAGAAACACAAAATTATCTTTGATTAATTGAATGTTGTTTTTCTCCAAAAACATGGATTATACTTTTCATTTTTCTTGAACAACAGAACGAATGGTGAGGTACAGCCCCAGGTACCATCCTGCCACAGGGGTGTTGCTAAATGTTAGACATGAAAATTTGCTTTGAGAATAATCCGGAGATGAAATTGCCTTATAGTAAACTTACACAATTAAAATAAAATAAGGAACAATCTGACATCACTTAACTATATCTCATGTGTGTGTGTGTGTGTGTGTGTGTGTGTGTTATGTGTCATCGAGTCAGACTCAACTCATAGCAACCCCTCCTTGGGTTTCCGAGGCAATATCTCTACGGAAGTAGATTGCCCACCCTTCCTTCCGAGGAGTGGCTGGTGCCTTTGAACCACCAGACTTCTGGTTAGCAATCAAGTGCTTTAGGCACTACTTTACCAGAGCTCTTAACTATATCTCATAGAAACACAAATATTCTGTCTAAGAATGTTTTTCCATTATCATGAATTAAAACTCAAATAATTGTTTACACGTTCTTTCGTCATCATTTCAATAGAACATCAGAAGAGGAAAATGGAGGAGTTACTGTTAAATTTTCACAAAAAAAAAGCAAAAAATGATAACATAATTTTGCTTGAAAAGCATTAAGATTTGTCAAGTTACCTCACTCTGTTCTGCTCTTTCCTTCACTAATAGAACAGTCACTACCTTCATTATCATGGAAGGAGGTAGTGCTACTTCAAATTGGATAAGAATGTGGAGAATAACATGGGCAGAAAAAGTACATTTATATGGTTCAAATTTTTGAAAATTGTATCCTCAAATCTTTGGGGTCCACTAAGAAAAAGTGTATTATTCACTCTCATTAACATTAAAATATTAAAGTGGGAAGGCTCTGAAACTGTCCTTAGGAGTTGAGAGTTTGTCCATATCACTAATGATGTTGTTGTTGTTGTTGTTATGTGTCGTCGAGTCAGCCCTGACTCATAGCAAACCCTCCTTGGGTTTCCGAGACAGTATCACTACGGAAGTAGGATTGCCCAACCTTCCTTCCGAGGAGTGGCTGATGGGTTTGAACCACCAGCCATCTGGTGAGCAGTCAAGTGCCTACTTGTTTTTGTTTTGAGTGTCATTATATAATTAATTATATAATAAATGAATTTTACAGTTATCCAAATTATATCAAATGTGCATAATATTATAGAATATGTGCGATGCCCTCTATATGAAAAAATATTCTGTTCTCTGTGATGAAGCATTCTTCTTAGGGCTAATCTAAGGCAATCATAGGAATTCAGGTTCTGGGCCCAAAATACCTCCCCACACAATCAGCTTGTTTCTAACCTGAGAGATCAGGGGATACTTACCAAATGAATCTGTGGGGTGTTTTGTCTGTGTTTGATAGAAGGAGTTTCTGAGTCACGGTTTTAAGAAGAGAATATCATTAGCTCATCTCCCTCCAGGACAAAGATAATCATAACACTTGTCGAAACATGACAGTATTTGGCTTGTTTGTACACAAAGGTAGAATTCCCACAAAGGGAACTTTGGATCATTTCATTCTTGGGAAATAGTCAAGTGTGATTTTAATTGCTTGGTGCCATGGACCTGAGGTTTCCAAAACACTTCCTCCTAACCCCTTGGTTCCATGAACCTACAGTTTTCAGAAAAGTCAG